AGTTTGTATAGCGACATATTTTATGATTTATTGCTCATGATTCTAGAAAAACTTGTTTGATAATGAACTTTAAGGCTTTGTTTGGGCAAAGTCATAGATTTATTAATTTATTTATGCATATTTTGTGTCATAATAATTATGGTCATTGATCTTGATGGTTAGAGCAAACAAATACTACAAATTAGCAAATGCAAAATGAATTTAATATTTGACACATTTTCTTTAACACCATTTGTATTTTTCATAAATGTATAGGAAACAAATAAATTATACTCACATTTTATTAAACAACTTGTTAGTAAATAATTAAACTATATTTCACTCACTGAGATTGATAAAATATAAAACAAAAATGAGGATCAACACAAAAAACATAATAATTTTACTCAAGTTCGCCTAATTAATGATCTTGTCCTATTGCAATAACTATAGATTTTACAATTTTTTAATTATGGAGAAATTACAACTCTAATTATTCAAATAAACACATATGATGGTTTCCTTGTCCCTCTAATATTTAAGGTAGCCGAAATATTATAAGTTCTTAAAATATTTTTAATATAATAATCTTAATATTGGATACATTTTGGGACTCCATCCCTCCTTTGCTACAGGTTTGCAAAGCTTCTCCCAATTACTCAAATGCATTTGCTTTTGGTGGTTCTCCCACGTAAATTTATTGAAGGTGATCTCAAGCAGCCTTTAGGTACTCCTCTTAAGTTTGACCATTTGGAGAATATAAAGGGAGAAGGTTGTGAGGTTGCTCTTGAGTAATGTAATTCTGCCACCATCTGAAAGGAATGAGGTAGTCCATCATTGAATTTTTGAAGAGACCTTCTCCACAACTGCGTCACAATGAGACTGTTCTATTAGAGGAAAGCCAAGATATTTGAGAGGGTAATCTGTAATTTTGAAACCATTTGTTTCTATGTAAACTTTTGGAAGGATCCACTAGAAACTAGTATACAATCACATCGGTGGCATGCTTTGCCTTTGTCGGAATAGATAGAAATTGTGAAGATAATTTTATTAAAAAAAACATTAGGAAATAAATTTAATAGCAAATTAGTTAACAATACAAAATCATTTATATAACTTTTATGTATTATAATGATCAAAATAAAATATAAACATTTAATAAGAAAATGATTTGGACTTGTGATGTTTGAAAAATAGGGTATAAATCTTTTGGGGGGGGGAGAAATTTTCTAATAGCCACTATGAAATTTTGAGGTATTACATACTAGGCATATATAGTATCCCTTTGCAAGAGGATGTAACCAACATCTCCATTATAAGACAGTAAAAATGACTATTTGATACAGAAAACCATAAAAAACTAGAAAACAAGCAAGATTATTGAGTTACTTGAAAGGACTGCATGAAAGCAAGAAGAAAATAACTGCAAATACAAAACTATAACTAACAGGTTTACAACTTATGGGTTGTGCTTCAACAGCCTTTCCAAAGTTTGTTTGCTAGTGAAGGTGATCACGGGGACCAGCTGAAAATCACCAATATGTTTGGAAGAGACGTAAAGACAGAAAAAATTGGAATGAACAGAACAAATTTCCCGGAATACACATTTTCATGCATAGATCTATTTTAGAAATTTTATTTTCAGCAGAAGAACAACAATATTTTAGTTAATTTTATTTTCAGATGGAAAAATCTGGCTATGAAATGTGTAACACTATCATAAAGAAAATAATGTAGTTGTTATTTTAATATAGCATCTCATATGGTCTGTTTTAGTGTTTAAAATTATATTTTATTCACACTCTAAAGAAATTCCTTTTCATAGTAGCTAGCTTTTAAAATGGAGCATCCTGTGATATTGAATGATAAGAATCATTTGAAAGTTGAGCTAAAAAAATTGTTCATATTTGCGTCGATAATATAGTGAATGAATTAAAAAACTTATGGGGCAAATACATTTCTTTTTGTGGATAATTATACATACCAATCTAATTTATATATTAAAATTATTTTTTTTCATCATTCACATTACAAGTACAAATGTGAGATTCAAGTAATTCTGATAAAAGTAAAGTGATTAAAATCAACAATCAGGGGGTCTGATGCTGGCCCTCAAATTGGTCATAACAATCCAAAGTTTACTCTAGTAGACTTGCTTGCATTAGGCTCTACAAGCTTGTCGCTTATGTGAGCCTGTCAATGGCAACCAGTTAATAGTTTTTTCTCGGGGAATGCAGGCTTAATTGGATTTAGTCTCCATGGTTGAAGGTTCAGTTCTAGAGGAAGCAAAAATCCTTGGGAAAGTTTCCTGTGTTTTTTTCTTGGTAAATTCGCATACATGCCACACAATTTCTATGTATTTACATATCTAACAACTAAACTTTCTTATTTCATCCAAAGTGATATGCATTTAAATATTGATGTTTGGGTGTTAGATATATAAATACACAAGAATTGCATGGTATGTAAGTAACTGTCCCTTTCTTTCTTTTTTGTGCCCTATACATGTCTCTTCTAGACTTATTCTTACATATTTTTTGTTGAATACAATTTTACGCAATGTAAATGAAACTGAAGGTATGCAATCTCATTAAGGGTCAAATGCATGAAAATGAGAACAATATCTACTTGAGAAGCCCAGGCAATTCAAAACCTAAGAACAGTCATGTTTCTGTTTACTGAAACAAATTGCAGTGTTTTTTTCTTGGGAAATTTACATACCTAGCACAGAATTCTTATGTATTTACTTATTTCACATCTAATCTTTCATTTTTTATGCACATATATTTTGGTGCTTTAAACCTATACCTGAAAAGGTTTATTTCACTTTAGAAAAGTGGTTAAAGTATTGTGTGTAAAAATGGAAGTTTAGGTGTGAAGTATGTAAATACATAAGAATTCTGTGCTATGTATGTAAATTCCCTTTTTTTTTCTTACTTTCTCGCTGCTATTTGAACTTTGCTTATAATCCACATTAAATTTTTCCATGGCTGAGATTGGTTTTGGCATAAGTTGGCTTGCTGTTTGCAAATGTGCTAACAACCAACCTTATTTTCTGTTTTGAAGCCTCACAAGTTAATTCACATATTTTACCAGTTTCTGCTTTGATGAGGAATTCTGAAATAAGATTTTTTTGAAGTTTCATTGCCACATTTCCCATCATAACCAGATATGTTTTCCCCATTTTATTTCTGGTTTCTTTGCTAGGCCCAATCGAGAAATATGTATATATTATAATTCTATTTTGGGACATTTCAATACATACCACTCAATTTCTATATATTTATACATCTAACACCTGAACTTTACTTTTTACATTTATACCATCCAAACCTTTCACATCAAATCAAAAATACCACCATTTTAACTTCTAAAAAGTGAAATACACATTTTCATTCATAGATAAGGTGGCATGTATGTAAAAAATTAAGTTTAGGAATTAGATATGTAAATACTTAAAAATAGCTTATCTCTGATGCTGCAGCTAACAATGCATCATTTTTCAGTTTGTTAATGGAGCCACTGCCGATACCCAAAGCCTGATTCTATAGCCTCTGAAGAATTGAATTTTGTCGAGAGAACAACAAGTATAAAGTGTGAAGCCAAAGTAATTGATATAAAATAGCAATTATGAAAATTTCAGCAAGACATCAACTTTAACCAAAACTCAAATAAGCAATTCCAAATTAAAGCCTGGCAAGACATGAAAGGCTTTAGCCCCACGATGATACAGACTGACCAAGCTTTCAGAGACAAACAATTGATTCTTAATTGTTTTTAGAAGCATTTACATACATACCTCCCAATGCCTATGCATTAACATATCCACCATCTAAAGTTTGTTTTTTTGCATTTATATCACCCGAATCTTTCATATCACCTAAAAAATACCACTATATTAAAAATTGAACATTAAGTGTTCGAAATGTAAATACAAAGAATTGAGTGGTATATACTTAAATCTTCCTTGTTTTTGTTAGATTATAAAATAAATATCACACCTGAATAGAACTGAAAACAGATGGACTCTGTGGAAGGAAAAATATTGCCTACAAATGCGGAAGGTGTGGACATCGACAGTGATTGGGCGGAGAAAAATATATATAGAACCTCTCTTGGATCGCAACGGTTAGTCGTAGGTGCGGCGTCCTCACCTAACAAGACTTCCAGTGGATGAGATTCATTTTCTTGTACTTATTGGGGTTTTTGGCCTTGGTTAACTCCACTGAATTTGGTCTACCAAGTTGACACTAGCTAGCTCTCAGCTTTTCAAGCAAACCATTTCATGATATATGTATCTCATTTTATACTGCATTAAGTCCTTAGATAATGAGCCAGTAACCTATCCTACTGAGCTTTGATTGATTCAATAGATTTAATAGATCCACCATAGATAATCTTAAGTGTTTTAGTCAACCTTTTTTCTTGGCTCTTCTAATATATCATAGTTGGCATAAGGAGTCCTCAAGAAACTTTAGCATATCCTAGGATAGATGGAGAAATGTCTTATTTGTTTTTGTCTTTATGATGATTTTTTCTTCTGAATCAATCGATTTTTAATTCTTGTAAGAATCTAAATCTACTGTTCTTTTATCTAATTCTGCTTATGCTATGCATGTGTATCATGTGGACTTAAATATTCTTTTTTACTTGTACAGTGACTTGCTTCTCTTTAATTTCTAATCATATATATATATATATATATATATATATATATAATTGATGCTTCATATTTTACTTATATTATTTTTAGGCGAGTCTCTCAGCTTTGACAATGAATAAATAAGACCATAATGATATTGAATAATCAAAGAAATTTAATTCATCATAGAAGAAGAGAATAGTTTATGTCTTTTTTAATGAAGTAATACAATGCATAAAGATTCAAAATTAAGGGGCATTTCATCTCAAGAATTTTTAGAAGGAATTGAACACATTTGAATTTCATAACATACATGTTAGCATAAAAATAAAAATAATGAAGAGAAGAACAATGATTTTCTCGCTTTAGATGCATCATTTATTATATAATGTAATGACAAAAACTTTTTGCTTAAAAAAATAATAACATGCTTTACAAATGACTAAAGAACTAACTTTTTCTTCGCTTAACTAGATCATAAATACTAGTTTATATTATTCATGCGGTTGTTATTGAATATGTCTGAAAGCTGAGACCGAAGCCTTTTTAAACTTGCATCATATGTTCTGTAACCATGTGGTTGTTGTTGATGCATCGGTCGCCTTCTAATATCTTTGTCAAGCTGGTTGCCCACATTTCTCATGTCAACTACATTGGAATGAGGTGAAAATTTCTGATGCTCCAATGCTGAAATATCATCATTCATTATAGAATATTTTATTAATATATTAATAGAAAAAACATAACAATAATATTGAAAAGTATAGTATCAGACATACCTTCATTGATGAATACTTTATCTCTTGTGTTTATGTTTAGAGTGGAGGTGACATGTATAGTGTCTTCTTTCGAATGCCTCCCGTTGACATTTGTCTCAAAAGAGAGTGTTTTATTGGTTGTGTTAATAGAACTCAGCCCGCAATAATTAAAAACTGCACTATTGAATCTATCTGAAAGATCCTCTAGACCGAATACAGAGAAGAGAAATAACCAAAGCTTAGTACATCCACATTTTGAGGCTTTTGAGAGATAGTCAATCTCCTCCATCATATTCTTAAAATCCTCAATAGAGTAAACCGAGACAAGAGTGTCGAGACTTTCATTAGGAAGTTGGTAGCAGATGCGAACAGGGCCGCCATAGACATTCTGCATCTTGTATAAAAACTTGTGAATGGTGGTATCACGATGGATGGCAATAATACGTGATTGTCCGCCAACATAACGTAGATTTCCTTCACTACGCTGGGGCATAAACTTTCCGCCAAAGCTGCAGAGGAGTTTCACCTTGCCAAGTTGGTTGCCCACATTTCTCGTGTCAACAACATTGGAATGGGCTGGAAGTTTCTGTTGCTCCAGCGCTGAAATATCATCATTCCCTATAAAATATTTTATTAATATATTAAGAGAAAAAAATTGTAACAATAATAGCGAAAATTATAGTATCATACATACATTTAATGTTGAATTCTTCACATCTCGCACTTAAGTTTACAGTGGAGGTGGCATGTATAGTGCCGGCTTTCGAATTCCTACTGTTGACATTTGACTCAGAAGCGAATGCTTTATTGGTTGTGTTAATATAACTCAGCCCGCAATCATTAAGAACTGTACTATCGAATATACCCGAAACATCCTCTAGACCGGATGAAGAGAAGAGAAATAACCAAAGCTTAGTGGATTCATATTTTGAGGCTCTTGAGAGATAATCTGTCTCCTCCATCATATTCTCAAAATCCTTAGTAGAATAAACCGAGACAAGAGTGTCAAGACTTTCATCGGGAAGTTGGTAGCAGATGCGTACAGGACCGCCATAGATATCTTGCATCTTGCAATAAAACTCCTGAATAGTGGTATCACGACTGATGGCAATAATACGTGATTGTCCGCCAATGTATTGTAGATTTCCGTCACCATGTTGGGGCATAAACTTGCCACCAAAGCTGCACAAGAGTTTCACCTTGGGTGTGAGTTTCACCTTTGGTGTTGTTTGGTCTTTAGTGGCGTTCTGTGTGTGCGCAACAGTAGAAACAGCTGAATCTCGGTTTAAATTCAAGAAGTCGTTCAGAGATTCAGGATAGAAATTCTTCTTGATTGCCATAGGTTCGCACGGTTTTTTGGAAGCGGGTAGATTGAGAAAAGTGTTAGAAAAGTGGAATGAAGAGATGGGGAATTTTAGTGGAGGTTTATGCATATGTTGGCGAAAGGAATGCAGCAACCCGCGAATTGCGACGGCGCAAGCAGAGGCTGTGGCAGTGAACATTCTTGAACGTATTTTGAGAAGAAAAAAGCTGCAAAGTGGTTTCGGATAGGAGAAGGCGACAAAGTATTCGGAGACAAATACTTTCGAAGCAGAGGCGATGTGGTTTCAGATAGGTGAAGGCGACGAAGTATTCGGAGACGAATCCTTCAGGCGAAGTTGTTTCGGACTGAAACAGATTACAGCAGAACTGATTCTTGGTAAAAGACAAGCTTTTTCCGACTCAAACTGATTACAGGAGAAGTGATGGGAGGTAGAAGACGAAGTGGAGGGAGGGGTGTGGATTTTAAATCTTTACTTGAAACTTAAAAGTTTGTACTTTGTCCGCTCGGCTCGCCATCCTCTGCGCCAACTTCCCGCGAATAGCGAACGAAATCCACATACTGTGTGCGGATTCTTTAAAAAATTAAATATTAAACGAGTTTTTTATATTCTCTTGTCAAAGAAATGAAAGAAGTTGAGGGTTCACACTTGGGGAGTAATTATTTATGGGGCTAGTGGAAACTCTTAGAATAGTTATATTAAGCAATCATGATGCTAAAAATGTGTTTGAATTAAGCACTAAGTGAAACTCATTTATGTTAATCTCTCCATATGTTCAAGGTAAGACCATTAACATGTTTTATATTAGAGGTTGAAATTTATAATATCTACTCTAAAAGACATGAAAGATTAAAAAAAATTGAACATATCAATATGGCATATTATAATTTGAAAATTTATAAGACTGGTTATGTTTTACTTAGGCTTCTTTTGAGAGCACATTGTCTTTCAAAAACTCACATTAAAATGTTACTGTTGAAAAAACTCTCCTATGAAGTTTCGGTTGCTTAAAATAAAATATCGTTCGAATACATTCTACTTTGTTCTTCTCACTGTCTTAACTCCTTATTCAATATATTTAAACACAATTTAGTTTAAATAAGATAAATTATATATTAGTTATATTGATTACTAATTATATATTGTAAGCCAATACTTCGTCAATTAGTTTCCTGTCATCTAAACTATCTTCAACTTAAATATATTATTATTAACAGCCTTGGAAAGTTGAATAATTTTTAGGAGAAATAATAAGAGACTTTGAGGTGTGAGTAGCCAAAATTGAATCATAGTTAATAGTGGTAGCCTCAAAGAAGAAAGTGTCGACGGTGATGTTGATGCCACCAATGCAATGAGGCAAGTGATGGTTGGGAAGAAATTCATATATTGAGTGGTACACTTGTGTTATGTTTATTGGATCCACCATTCTTCCTTGAGAAACTCCTTCAACACCATAATGATTTGCTTCATGCATTAACCAAATAGTTTTTGAAGACTTCACTTACCAAATGAGAATGATTTCATCAACATTTTATTTTGTTCATTTCTCACTTGGCTCATCTAATTGATGATCAAACTAATATTTAGCTGACTGTTGGCTCTCTTCTTACTACTTTGAACTTTTGTAGGTTCTTTTGTGTGTCTATGTTTTTGTTATGTCATATTGTAGTTCTACGAGTGTCTTTACCAAGCCCCAAACACTAGAAGATTGAATCAACATGGTATATGTGCTTGTGCTAAAACTATAAGTACAATCTAATCAAAGGAGCAATGTTTTTTCACACCAAATATCTCACAAGCAACATACTATAATTACAATCTAATCAAAGGAGCAATGTTTTTCACATCTAATATATCAAAAGCACTATAATATAAAAGAGGAATGTCTTATAAAAGAAGAAATGAGCCAATATCCCTTACAGAAAATTACAGTATTTCCCAACCATAACTATGAAAAAAAACAATTTAATGAGTCTACACTGTAGAGAGAGTAAATAAAGATGAAATTTCTAAGATTATATAATTATACAAAGCACTCCTGATGCTAAAAATGTGTTGATTTATATGATTGTAAGAATTGTTCAAAAAACAAAAAAAAGCTTGAGCTTGTGACTTATATGTTAAAACTTTTATAGGTTATTTGGGTATTATTATTTAGAGTTTGAACATATATTAAAAAAATTTCCTGGATTTTACTTTGTAAAATTCTTAAAAGAGTTTTAGATATTAAGATGATGCTTATTGATCATAGTATAGAGGACTCAGACGCTATGGTATTTGACAAAGGATGTCATTTCATATTGAACATGATCCTTAACAAAAACACTTTATTATGTTATAAAAGCATCAATTACATGATTCAAACAATATGACTAGAGCACTTGCCCGCAATTTAAATACCAAATAGTTATGATATATATGGAAATATTTTAATTTTACACATGAATGTGGTAGAATAAATACCTTATTCAGTTCTATTTCCACAACTTTTCAACCCTAATTGGAGAATCTTATATTTTGTAGTTAACCAATCAAATTAAAATATGAAATAAAATTTCTAGTTACAAATATCAAAATGGAAGCTTTAAGTGAATATCCATAGTGCTTCTAGTTAGAAAAAAAAGGATGAAATCTCAGATTTGATTCTGGGACTTCACTTGAGAATTGCTATAAGGTATTAGATGTGATTTGCATGAACTTTATTTGGTTGATTTGTGCTCTATTGATAGAATGGAAATCATCAAGCATAGATGTCATTATCTTTATATAAATCTTATGATATTCACTAATAAATTTTTAGTAGAAAGCCAAGTTGTAAAGCTTAAGTTTTGTCCTTCGAAAAAAATGTGGTATGCAAATTTTTTTATGGATGGCACTCTGTAAGTTTGTCGTGAGGGTTGAAAGAGGGATGGATTTCATAATGTATCCAATATTAAGATTATTTCATTAAAAATTCTCAGAGAATTTATTATCTCTCGGCTACTCTAAGTATTATAAGAAGGGTGATGCTATCATACATTTTTATTTGAATAATTAGAGTTACATTTTCTCCGTAATTAAATAATAATAAAATCTTTAGTTGGTGCAACAGTACATGATCATTAATTAAGTGAACTTGAGTAAAATTATTATGTTTTTTGTGTTGACCTTATTTTTTTATTTTTTATTTTATTAATCTCGATAACTGAAATGGATTTTAACTATTTACTAACAAGTTGTTTGAATAAAATGTGCAATCATATTCTATTCTTTTGCCGGTATATCTTGGCAAAAAATAAACAAATATTACTAAAAAAATATATATCAAAATATTAAAGCCATTTTGCATTTGCTAATTTGTGGCTTTTGTTTGCTCTTACCATCATGGTCAATGACCATAGTGTTGTCACTCCTTTTATGCAATCATCAATTTGTCATTTGCTTGGCATCGTCGTTGTTATCATTGAGGAGTCACCAGCTTGTTTTCTGCTAAGTTGCCTTCTTCTCTGAATAATTATTCATCTTAGATTATGTGGTGAACTGAGAGGTGAGAAATTAGAAGACTAGGGTAGGGAATAATGAAAACAAACAAAAAGAAGTATTTGGAAAGCCTTCATAAAGTTAATTTTTTGCATTGATAATTCCAAAGCATAAATCCAAAGTGGAATCAACTCAGAAGACATAACTACGAAGGAGACCTTACGAAAGCTAACTACCAGAGAATTTAGGTTGATGTACATGTTATAGAGTTCACATCTTCCTATAGGGACAAGTCCTTATAGTTAATTTTGTCTTATATAGTTGAGACTACTTAAGAAAGCTCCTAATTGAGGTTATAATTTTATCTCAAAAAGTTCAAATATTTTTGGCATGGAAAGTATTATCAAAGTCTTATTTTAATGGTAGTAGGTTCCTAAAGTTCACATATAATGCAAAATTAAATAAAATTTGGTTCATGAGTAGCCTCTGACTATTATGAATTCTCCTAATTTTCTTTAGGATATAAAATCATAAAATGTTAATAGATTACAATTTCAATTTAAACTGTTAGTTAAGCCATGAAATAAATAAATAAAAATGATAAAATTATAAAACAAAAGAAAAATTACAGGAATTCTAGCAAATAATAACATAATTCCACAAAATAGTGAATTAACTCATCTAAATATAATAAAATTCTTTGGTCATGTATAAGGGTATATTTGTAATTTTTTTATTTATATATTTACTCTTTTATTTAAAAATCTTAATTAAATCAGAGATATAAATGTTGGATTTATGAGATCATGTTTAAATGACTAACGCCTTAGAGAGTCTGTGATATGGCTTAAAACATGTTTAATTTTCTTTCTTTTTGGCACCTATTTATTGAATAAATTGTACTTTAAAGAAGTGTTTTTTCATGTTTTTTCTTGCAGATACAATAAGTAGGGAATTGGAATGACGTGGAGAAGAATTGGAATGAAGCGGAGGTGAAAAGGTGCTAAAGGCAAAATTGGAGAACCAACGTCTATGCGCCAGCCTATGGGCTGCGCCATACCTGTGGTGCCTAGGTGCTATAACACGTCCAGCCAAACAGAGAGCTTGCTGTCCAGGCACCAGCTCGGTGACACCTGGGCGCCAGAACTGCCTAGGGTAGTTTTTGCAGTTTTCTCCACACAACCTGGGGAGTAGTTTGGGGCATATAGATGGTTTCATGGAGCATGGTTGGTGACTTTGAAAGGGGTGAACTCTTTAGAATATTGGAGAGAAGTTCTTATGAATCCTAGGATAGAAATTTGGTTGTAGTAGGCTAATTTCTCTTTATTTGTCTTGAGAGTTGGTGAGGAACTTATGTGTGTGTCGGCACTATTTTTGGTGTGGGGTTTGCTTCCTATAACTAGACCTAGGCTACTAAAGAAGTTTCTAGACCTCAACCAAAAGTGAGGTCAACAGTGTGATTGTAAGGGAAGAGCTCAACATTGTAGGAGGTATTTAGAGATCCTTTGTCAAGGAGTTTTTTTGTCACCTTTGCACAGAAAAAACTAAGTATTGTATTTTTTTTTCATCTTGTAATTTTTGTCAACACAATTTTAGTAGATTTGTTTTGTTTAACAGAATGACGTGTATTGTTTCCTTCATGCATTGAGAGTAGTTTCTATTTACCTTTCTCTTATGATGAGTAAGTGGGTGGTGTATGATTAAAGGATACTTCTAGAATTTATTTTACATATTTAATTTGATGAATATTCTTTCATGCTTAATTTACTTTTCATTCTAGCCAAATGATTAATTAAAACATGTTGTGATCCATAATGACTCGGGATAGCTATGGAGGAATGATTAGGGTATTCACATTGAACTAGTGGGTGAAGGAAAAGTAGTCCATAGGGAAATACAAATAGATAAGGAAATAATCTTTGATGGGTATATATTGGAGTTTGAGGAATTAAAACCAGTTTAAACAAATTTCTTTATGCACTCGGGAG